CTCCCACATCTCCAACACTCCTCACGCACCCAAAGACTCAGAACCTCGCTCACTCGCTCCCACCAACAACCACCCCCTCCTGGGCAGCGGCACCCAAGGGCGCAGGCCTCACCTCATGGCCTTTGGCTTTCTCTTTGCTTGCTTTTCCAGGACCCCAACTCAATCTGGGACCATGCGTCACCCTCAATGTCCTCAGAGTCGTGCAGCTCAACTACTGCAATGGCAATGGCAATGGCCAGATTGACCAGGTGGGAAACCCTTACTCTTCTCCAACCCAGCGCCAGGGCTGCCCAAAGCCAACCCCCATGCCCTTCTTCCCCGCCATCTCCTTTTTGGAGAGCTTTCTTCTCGAGGATGGAGACGCTAAAACACAGCAGGGCTTGATCCTTTGTCCTTGAGGAGATCCTGAGGGCGCTGCTGGCACTCCAGGCAGGCAGCACTTCTTCTCTTCTCCCAGGGATCTGGGCAGGTCACCCACTTCCTTCAAAGGCTAAAGGCTTCCTTCTTTCTGTTGCCGTTTTAGCCTCCCCAGGATCAGGGTCAGGGTGACAACCAGGAAGTCATCATTGGTGGCCAGTCCCAAATTCTGACCATCCACAAGCAATGGCGTGTGGCAGTTATCACCCAAACAACCCCCACTGGCTCCTGGAAAACCATCTGGAACTACAACACGGTGAGTGGCAGGGAGCGGGCTTGTCCAGGCACTGTGCCAGGAGGCTGCCTCCTGCTCCAGCTGAACAAGGCACGGGGCTTCTTGCTTTCTTCTCAACTTTTCCAGTCCAGGATTTGGGGGAGGAACTATTGGTATTCCTTGCTAGTTTCAATCCACACTTTCTCCCAACTTTTCCCAGTTGCAAAACAGAATGGCCAGTGCTCAATACCTTTCTCTTTACAGGGCATCATTGCAACCAAAGTGACACAACAGAACACCTGCTACATTTCCATGATGAACAAAAACGAGATGCCCAGCTTTAACAATCTGGCCAGACTGGCCAGAGAGAGCAGGGTAAGAGTCCAAAAGAGCTGCACTTTCTTGACCTTGGAGCCCGTGGGGCCCTTTCTTAACTGGGCTTTTTCCTGCTGGAGAGCACCACCTTGTCACTCGTGGCACGACTGTCTTGCCCTCAACTGCAGTGCGGCTTGGGAATTTCCCCTAGGGATGCTTTGTCCCAAAAAAGGAGGGGGGGCCTCCTTCCCTCTGCCAGCTGTGCTTTCTCTCAGCAACCTGAGCTCTGCGGCTTGCTGAGAAACCCTTTCTCTCAGCAGCCCTTCAAGGCCACCAATGCTTTTGGTGTGGCAATCCTTCCAAGGCCTTCAGAGTCATTGCAACACCAACCTGCCTTCGTCAGCTCA